GGACATGAAATGGCAAAGTTTTTTTTTATGGCGCTGACAGGAGGTTCTAGGTGTTTTGTAGAGAATAAAAGGAGCTACAGGTCAGTCATTGTTTGAGCTGTGAACGCTATAAAGAAAGTCTTGAAAGATCTATCCGCTATCTGTAGAATTATTGCATCAATTCTCTCTCCCTTTTAATGTATTGAATTGGGCTTAGTCCTAGTTTCATTTTGATCTACTTTGAGAGTCGGTTTAAGCATAAACTTTATTCTTTCCACAAAGTTCTAGAGAATGAGGAAATCTCTAGGGTCTACTGGCCGTGAAGCTACTGAAAAGTGATCTGCTGTAGCTGCTGTTGATCTGTAGATTTCCCTTGTCTTGCCAGTCCTCTACTGTGTATTAAATGAGCCTGAAAGTCACTTTGTTCCTTTTATAGCAGCGTTCCTTAAGCATCACAAAAACGTTTTTCTTTGGAACAAAGAACAGCTGTACTTGATCGAACCCATAGACAGTTGCTCAATGCCAGCGGGTGGCCACCCTCACCTTCAGTCGCACATCTCACCCTACACTAAAAATGCATTCATTCAACCAATCAATTTGAATAATACATACACAATGATTACTCTCTTTTCTATATATAGTATTTATATGTGTAAACGATTATATCTCAATTTTACTTGCCGCTGGAGTGCGTCGCGTCGTCGTTTAATTAATACGCAAATATTGTCACTTATGTAAACATATTTACATGGGGAGTACAGTAATGCAAACGTGAGTGAATACGTCATACATGAGTGGAGGAAGGAGGTGCAGTGGTAGGTGGGTTGGACATTGGCGACTGAGTGTGTGTGTGTGTGTGAATGAATTCAGGCCGCAGGCACTCGACCATGGAATGACGTCATGCCGCTCATGCCATACGTTATATCCGATTCGATTCGGCCAGGGGGCCATAAACAATGCTGTGATAAACATATGTTAAATATCGATATATGTCGACTGGGGATCGACCTAAATAGTACTCTCCCCGGACTGGTAGATACTTGAAGAAATGCTTCTACAGCAAGTCTTTGAAAGACTTGGATAAATTGCCTCCAATATGTTAGCGGCTAAACATCTAAGACCAATCCAATCCGGAGAGTGTGTGAAAGTGAGAAATTCTTTGGGTTAAGTGGAATCTTCTTGCGCTTAATCAAACATGTGTTCCCCTACGAAAGATGGCTCTAGGAATTCTTTATAATCTTTTTTGCATTGAATAAACAAACAAGCGAGTTGACTCAGAATATTTTGAGTGGTAAATCGCCGCTGACTAAGTGCAGAAATATGTTCTTAAAGATAGCTCAAAGGTGGAAGAGACAGACAGCCCACAGCCCAGGTTCTCATTAAGAGTCCGTCGTCGGGGATAATTGCAGGAGCTAGTGGTACGTAAAAACAATCAGAAATAATATCTGCGCTGAAAGACAGTGGCTGGGGGCAGGCAGCAGCTGTGCCTGCAATTAGGACTCTCCTGTAATTTGCGTCACGCGGGGCATGGCGGAGGAGCTGCAACCACAAAAGCAAACTGCTGCAAAGATATAAATAGCCTACAATCGCAGGAGGAGCAACAAAAAAGAAACCCCGAGTTATGCGAATCGCCCTTGAGAGGAGGCACAGTGGGCGTGTCGCCATGACAACAAACATTCGTGCGACAACAGAAACTCGAAGGCAAAAGTGACGTGACGGTCCCAGCCCAGCGCCAGCTCTTCCCCCCTCCTAAGCTTGCTGCCTGTCTGGTTTAAGCAACATGTTGCCAGACACATTTGATCGGCTGTCCGCTACTGGGCATTGGAGTGAGTGGGGAGCCGAGCAGGAATATCTGATGTGAAGCTGGGCCACTGGCAATGGTAATGGAAGCAAGGAAAGACTTTACGAGCATTCATGTGCCTTCGATGCATACTCTATGATCTCTGGGGGCACCAAAAGTGAACATTTTCATCGAAGGCTTTTATCCAATTGAACTTTAAATGCATAAAAACTGCTTGCTATGGGATTTTAAAAGATTAGAATCTATGATAGAGGCCCAAAAGGCCGCTGCAGGTGGCTATCTGCTTCAGCGAAGCAAACAGTTCCTTAAAGGCTTTTAGAAAAATCAATTTTAAACATGCCAAAGCACTCAGAGATATGAGTTTAATTGAAAAGAATTTACCAAGATATGTGTGTAACCATGATAAAATATGTGTAGATATTATTACTATTACATTGGGAATCTCCTGAAATATGAGCCCTTAATGAATAAGAAAACATAAATTTTCCACAGAAATGTTAGGAGAGCCTTAAAAGCCTCTCTAAAATCATTATAAATCTACCAAAAAACGCACAGCCATTACTCTTCGACACTCGATACTCAGTCCAATTCTCACTATTTATATTTATAAACGAAAATGGACTGCCATAAGTATTCCAGAAGCTGGAAATTATTTCTTCAAAAATATCATTTAAGCGGTCGTCATAGTGCCTTGTAGAGAATTTTCCCCACATAACTTTTATTGCTTGGCTGTTAAAATATAGGTTCTAGTATATGCCAAATAATTACAATAAAAGTTTATCGAATATATACGAGTTACATAGAAAATGTGGGATAAAAAAAAAATATTAATATCAATAAAGAAATCATTTAAATGGATAAACTTACGTCCCAGTTTGAGCTCTCCTCTCCACTGAAAGTGTATCCCAAATACAACATCCCAGTGGTCAAGTTTCTCCCCTTATAATAGCATTTTTTCCGCCTTTTCATCGTGTGTTTATAGCAGCTCTTCTCAGGTGATTAGTGGCTCCAAGAGTGGCCTCCCTCCCAGGCCTGTCAATATTTGCCAGCTGATTGGCTTCTTCGAGAGCGTCGATGCCTAAGCTCCAATGCCCAAGGATTAGACATGACCAGGGGAGGGTACGGGGGACAGTTGAAACCAAAGTAATTTCAATTAGTCGATAAACGCCTCAACGAAAAGAGAAAGACCTCGTGATGTTGTGCCCTGGAATCGACTCGTTTAAGTTGCACTGAGCGACCTCCAGTCCAGACCAGTCCAGATCCATGGCAGTGGCCACCACAATATGACTGACATAGATAAATGTTTTTATTTGCTGGCCAAATGGCAATTAGCCACAATATGGTCGTATGTTTGGGCACTGTCAGTGGGTGTTAGCTAGGCTGGAATGTCATCAAGATCGCAAATGTGGTAGGTGGGGTTTGGTTCGCACTTTTCGAGGTGCGCCCTGAAATTAAATTCCTGTTTATTGATGTCAAAAGTCCAGATGGGCGCTGAGGACACTTGTTGTGTCTTGCTGGCTGACTGGCTGACTGGCTGGCTGGCAGGAGGATTATATTTATACGACATGGCCACAGGAAGTCGCCCAGCAGCAGGTGGGCGCCAGTCCAGTTCAATCCAGTCCAGGCAGCCATGGGGCATGCTCTAATTGCGGGCAAACGATGGCGACGATGACGATGGTTAGTCAACTTGTTTAATTGTGCATGTCTCGCTGTCATTTAGTGGCTCTCTCCATGTCTATCACCCCCCCCCCCACACACCAACATGTGTGGCCACTTTTGACACTGAATTATGGACACGTCGGGGGGGAGTGACCCGACCTGTTGCCAGAGGAACAACGGCCAGCTCGCTGCTAGGTGTGGCTGCAGTCTCCTCCTCCCAAAGAGCCGGATGTCCACGATGCGGAAGTGACACAGAAATATTGTATTTATTTCGAGTGGCAGATCATTTCCCAATCCAACTTCTTGCCACACTCCAACGCAAAGCTCTTCTCCAGGCCACAGCTCTGGCACTTCTCTTTCTCCGATCTGTGTTTTTGTTTATGCGCTTAATGTACTCGTACTTAATGTATTTTTTTGTTGATAGCCCGCTACGAATTTGATAACTGTCGATGCTTCTGCTCGGCAGATTACGCGTACTCCCGCCGAGTAACCGGGCTCAGCCTCAGCAATGGGCATTTGCCTTTGGCTGCTCGTACCCAGAATTGTTTTTGTTCTTCTTTTCACTCTTCACTCTGATTTCTTATGTTTTTTTCTGGATGGTTTTTATCAAGCATTTCACACTATAACGGACATCTGAATGAATGCAAAGGCATAAACAACCACAGAGCCAACGGATGGAGGGGGCCACTTATCGTGTGGCGTCTCCGTTCGGGGCTTGGATCGACCGTCCAGCGGCAAGTTTCAGTCGGTTCTGGTTAATTATGCAGTCGGTGTGTGCCTAAAAAGCGGATAAAAGCTAAGGGGAAACACGGTTTTCATGGAACAAAATTAATTACTTAAGGAAATGGGCATGAAAAAAGCTTTGAAATAATATATAAAATAAAGTTACAAATAAAATAACAAAAAACTATACAAAAAAGTGTAAAAAAACGCAATAAAGGATTACGTTTTGGTGGAATTTAATGTTTGTGTGACTATAAATTGATTCAACTATATTATAAATAAATAAGTTCCAGAGCAAATTTATAATTTAATAAGCACGAACAAGTGTTTGGGATAAACATATTAAATAAAAGGCAAACAAATATAAAACATTTTTCGAAAGATGAAGGATAAAGGTCTACGAATTGGTGGAATATAATTTTTGATTGTTTAAAAAGTAATTCAACCAAAATATAAATAAAAAGGTTCCTAAAGTAAATTATAGAACATTAACCTGTTGGTGGAAAATAAATATTAAAAGAATTAAAAAAACGATTCTAAATCCCTAATAATATTTAGTGGAGCAATGATGATTCGAATCATAAGTACAAAAAAGAAATATATGAATATAAACTGCTTTATTAATATATTAAACTCTTCCCAATCTGCCAAGACATTTTACCCTCTTGGAGCTCAAATAACTTTCAAATCCGTGAACAATTAATGTGTGAATAAATTCAAAAAGAAACTTTCAAAATTCTCATAAAAGTGCAAAAGAACCACAAATCTGTATTTAAGCATATCCTTTCTTTTATCCAAACTCTAACCAAAATGTTGTCCACCATTTGATTTCTTTCAGTGCATCGCTAAGTGAGCCTTAAGTGACTACCAGGCGTGACCATGGCATTACTGGGGCAAATGTGTTAACGTATATTTCGTATATATACCAATTATAGTCAAATCAAATTAGCTTAATATTTAAAAGCACAAAAAAACAAATAACAAATAAATTCAGCAAAAAGTAAAACAAAATGCGATTGGCCCACAGTTTGGTGGCCTCCTGCTGGCTGCCTTTACTCATTTGGATATCGTGGAGTGCTGCATGTAAGTACCATTTGTACCACAGCCTTCGCCTTCATTCAAGAATTTCCCAGATTATCGCACTTAAATTTCACTGGAATTGATAAGTGAAAAAGTCATAAAAAGAAATATGCAAAAATAAAAACAGTGAGAACGCTAACGATTTCAATTTGCACAATTAAAAGTATTATACATTCATGTGGGATTATATATGTACATCTGTGTGTACACATATCAAGTGTCGGCACACGATTCGCTTCCTGTCAAATGGCCAGACGTTCTGTATAATTTATGTGGCTCTCCCTCTCTCTCTCACTCTCTCCAATCTCTTCATCTTTCCATCTCTCTGCCTGCAGACAGAAGCCGCAGCCAGGCAGATTCCACAGCTGAAATACTAGACACAATTGTGAACCTTGAACCCGCGCTTGATAAAGAACCAAATTTCATTTCTACGACACTCGTAAAAGTGTCACAAATATGAATGCACAACCATATTTCGGATACTATTATAATGATCATATGATCGGCATACTACCCCCCACTCGAATTACAATTGTGGTCGTACATATTCGTACATACATATGTACATATATATATACATACATATGTACATTATGTTAGTATCAGCAGCAACAAAAGGGAAGGCAGAGGCTAGCCAAGGCAAGGCAAGGCAAGGCTCAATTGCTATCGCCAGTAAACAAACAATTGATTCTAGAGCAAAGAAAACAACAAAAAATTATACTAGAAATAAAAAAGAAAAAGGGGAACACAGGGGAGTCACTTGTGAGCACTTTAACTACAAAATTTGAGAAAATTAGAGGCGTTTTTCTGTATTTTTCTTAAGCTTTGTCCGATTGCGATGAGATTTGGGATATTTAAAGATCAGAAATAATATGTTATAGCACTTAAGAGCACCAGACTCTAAGTTAAAAATCAGGAATAGAATCAGGAATTAAAAGTCTCTGAATGGGGGAACCCAAACCCCTGTGCTACGCCCCTGCTTCCCACTCTTTGTACAGATGCAACTCAAGAGCGTCGTCTTTCAATCGCAAATCACTTAAGTTCATTATAATAGCGCCACTGGGCAGAGCAAGGGAAACATGGAGGGGAAAAGAGACTTGTAGAAAAGATAAAGAAAATGCAACAACAAAAATTCGAACAATTTTGTTATGATGCAGCTAGATCCATACCAAAAGATTATATTCTACATCTTTTCATTTTTTTCTCTTTTCAGTGCCTCGCCCACAGTTCGAACAGGAGGATAACGAGGTGGCCACCAGTTGTGGCGGCGATAATGGCGCACCACTGATAACGCCCTGCAAGGAATCCATCAAGCTGGAGTACCGAACCGACTACACGCTGCGCTGTGAGGGCAGTGAGCCGATCATTTGGTGGGCAAGTCACGAAAAGCCGCTGGTCAGCAGCTTCGATAATGCGGCAGAGGATCCACAGCGTCCGTATGGCCTGCAGTTGCACCTGATGGAGGTCACAGCGGACAACGTGGGAGCTTATTACTGCATCAAGGAGTCGGAGGCGGCGCGAGTCAATAGCAGCACAGACGAAAAACTAAGCGAAATGCTGGGCGAGATGCTGAACAACGATCTGGCCAGCACCATTTATGTGTTTGTCAATGATCCACTTAACCTGCTGGTGCCAACGGGACCCATTGTACATGCTCGTCAGTATACGGATGTGGTGATACCCTGCAAACCCTCGATGCCCGAAACGGAAGTGCTGCTGACATTCAATGGAGATGTGAGTGTGTGGGAGAGATCCTTTATACCTTTCTTACAGCGCATCCCTAAAAAGTAGATGCTCAGAGAGAGACCAAGACTGATCTTTCCCTAATCTTTCTCTCTGATGCATACAGAATGATACGAAGGGTAACATCAGTTCGCTACATCCCGATCTGCTGGGGCTGCATAGCTTCTGTCATAATTCGAGTTACGATCCTCGTTATGGCTTCACATTGCATGTCATTGCGAAGCCACCGCCGAGCATCTCCTGTCACAATGATATTTTCGACATTCACTACTCAAGTAGGTCCCCAGTCTGTTCTACTCAGTAGATAGTTTTGCCAACTGTATATACAAAAACCATAAATATCTATCCAACAAATATCGTAATACATTATTCACTATTATCCATATTAATACTCTAGGATAAGACAGCCCAATAAACAGCGAAATCAATTTGTCCTTAGGAGGGAAGATGTTCCACTTGCATTCAGATCTCCCGCCCTTTGTAATATGTTATATATCTGACCCATTTTTGAAAATCCCTTCCATGTGCAGGTCTATTCCAGCACTACCTCTGGTCGTTACGATCCCAAGCGTGGCTTTACCATCGAAATACGCAGCATCACCGATGGTGGGGAGTATTATTGTGAGCCAGCGCTACCTTCCCCTGACAATGAAGAGGAGAACACGTTCATACTTGTGCGCTTTATCGGTAACGGTCACATTGATAGTGAGTTTTTGCACCCCAAAGTTTTGTGATTTGTGATTTCTGTCTCCCTATATACCACGTATACTACATACATGTCGTAAATATTGCTTTCAATCTACTTGCCTCTTTCTTTTTTTGATTTTGATTTTGGATCATACGTTTGAAGGGTGATTATCGGTTATGGGTTGCGGTTATACCTGTGGTTCAAGGACGAAACAATTCAAAATTTTATGCACTCAATACACAATCACACAATTATACCATACAGAAATCATAGCTTCTAGTGCCATAGTTCCACAAGCAGAAGGTTCTTCTATGAATATCCCCCAGTGGAACTCTGGTACAATTGACAAACAACACACACACACAACGCCCGCATCTAAAATTGCATTCATTTGTGCTAACAAAATGGTCTTTCTATCTCTTACTATAACTTTCTTCTTTGATTATTTTTCCCTCCCCCAAAACTTTCCCTCCTGTGTGTCATTTTAACTGCTAACTCCTCCCAGCATCTGGATTGGATAGTGCCTCCACCACCAACCTGCCGCCTAACATAGAATACAACAGAGTTGATGCGGAGGTTACTGCAGATAATGATAATGATGATGATTTCCTCACTACTGTAACTAACACAATACAAAAGGGTAATGTGGCTCTAAACTCTGGTGCTGGGCTTGGTCGAAATGAAACTGAAAATGAAACTGAATCCGAAGATCGCTCAAAATTACATTATCCATTGCGTTACAAGCGTAGTCCAGCGCGTCTGCTGGCACCGATGAGTCCATCGCCCTCACCAAATCTAGGGCGTAAGTGTTGTTGCCATGTTTGTTGGATGTCCTCGCTGTTGTCCTTTTTGCACTTTATGTTTTTTTCGAAGAATTTTGTTCGTTGTTGGTTTATGGACTGTTGTATTATTTGTTGTAAACTAAACAGCTAATTTAGTTTTATAAGCAATGTACAGAGTAACCACAAAGTAACCACTTGATGTTTCTAATACAATTACTTTTAGTTTTGTGTGTCCATGTCTATGACTAATACCATCCATAAATGCATGAAAATCGCTGTAGAAATGCTTGCAATCCATTCACGTACAACCCAAAGTTCATTTATTAACATTCAACTCTCTACTATAAATGATACAGAAGCGAATGATCGCTTGAATAAGCCCTCGATCAGCTCCACTGCGCGGAATCATGTGTATGCAAATGGCACTTTCACCTTGGTCTGTGAGCTGTCTGCGCCGCAGGGCGTCAACTATGACATGAGCTGGAGCACACCCAACAGCAGAGATAAGTGGACACTGCACGAGGATTCCTATCATCTCGGTTCTGGTGGTCGCATTACCTACACAAAGCCACGTTTCGACAACACCATGAAGAACAACACCCACGTGGTGGGCAGCAGCAAGTTGACGGTGACCCAAGTCCAGCGCACCGATGAGGGACCCTACAAGTGCATTGTCACGGATAGCTTTGATCGCCAGCAGTTTATCTCCTACAAGATTAAAGTCATGCGTAAGTTTTGCACACAGTTTTTGAGACAATTGCAAAACAATTGTAGCTGCTTACAAAACACGTTTTAATTGCCAAGTTCACCCTGTTACAAACACAGCTGATTCTTTAGAGTGACCATGCTCATCCTCACAAACGATATTTTTAGCAAATTCTTGCCAGAATTGAATTCCAATTTACTCTTCCTTCCACCAAACAGAACCCAACTCGAGCTATTTGGATGTGCGGGAGCCCGCTGGTCACTACAATGTGAATGAGTTTGCCAATCGCACCATCACAATGACTGCAGAATTTGGTGGCTATCCGCAGCCCAGCTTCAAGTGGTACAAGCCCGATGGCAGCGAGATTTGGCAGACGGAGCACAATTTCAACATTGTGTCGGAGGAGTCCAGCACCACGCTGCGTTTGCACAACGCGCAGCTAAAGGACAGCGGCACCTATGTCCTCAAGGGCACCAATGGCAATGTCACACGTTCGCTGGAGTACAATGTGAGTGTCATGTCCTCGCCGGAGCTCAGCATGGAGGATGTCTATGTGCAGGCGGGCAATGAGGCGCACTTGGATTGCCTCGTGCGTTCGTTTCCCCCAGCGGTGGTCACCTTCCTCTTCAGGCCGTGCACGCTGGTGCCGCGTTGGCCCACCTGTTCCACACTCAATCAGAATTTTAGCGTAAGTATTTGAGATCTGGTAGGGAGTATCTGTCTTTGGGTGTTTGTTGCGTCTATTAATTGTCACATTTGTATGTTGTCTCTGTGTCGTTGTCTCTCTCTCTCTCTCTCTCATGCATGCGTAGTTACCCGCTGTCCGAGAGGCATTTAAGGTATACAATTAATGTCACTTAAAGAGTTCCTAGTAGATATTTAAGACTCTTTCCTATTCCCAGTTCAATGTACAACCACGACCGGGTCTACTCACTGTGGATCGCATCTATGCGGTGTCCTTTACACCCACAGAGCCCGGCATACTCACCTGCGCTGCGCAGAATCTGGTGGATGGAGTGCCACGCATGGCCACTACCAAGTCTCATGTGTTGATGGGTAACATTGCGGAGAACATGACCATCTATGGCCTGGATGAGCATCGAAAGATTGCCAAAGGCGATGAGGAGAGTTTCACATGCGAGGCTTTGGCCTATCATTTCGATGGCAATCTGCAGTGGTATCACAATGGAGAGGAATTGGAGCCATCAGAGGGTGAGCAACAAACTCAAACTTAGCTTTCCTTCAATGCCTAATCTCTGCTGTTCTCTTTACAGCTCTACTCATCCAAACCAGCCACACCAATTACTCCTACAAGAGCACTTTGAAATTCCCATCGATGGGTGATGGCGATCGTGGCACCTACGAGTGTCGTGCCCATCACATACACCAGCCCAGAGAGTACGATAGTCGTGAGATTGATGTCTATGTGCACGATCCCAAGGCGCCGCAGTGGGTGCACACCAATCTGAATGCCAATTCAAAGATGGTAAAGAAATTGGGTGAATCTTTGGTGCTAGAATGCCGCAGCATGGCCGTGCCGCAGGCGAAGGTGCGCTGGTTCAAGGATGGCAAGGAGCTGCGGGAAACAAATCTCACGCACATCATGGATGATCAAGAAAAGATGCTAATAACTCACTTGTATCCCCATGACGATGGCGTCTACAGGTGTCTGGTGGAGAATCGTTTGGGCAGCATTGAGAACTCCATCACGGTGGTCATTGCTGGTGGGTTTTCCCTTTCTTTTCTTTGCTCTTTGAATAATTCTCACTGTCTGATTGTTCACAGATATGCCTGGCATTAACCAGGCTTGGATTTGGTTTGGTGTCCTGCTCCTCCTCATTCTCATAAGTCTTTGTGCCTTCCTGTGGGTGCGCTACCAAAAGGAGCACAAACGTAATTTGGCCCTGAAGGCTGCCGGTTTGGCCAACTTCGAGGAGGGTGCCGTGGAGCACATTAATCCTGCTCTCTCTCTCGATGAGCAGGCGGATCTGTTGCCCTACAATCGCGAGTTTGAGTTCCCGCGCGACAACCTAAAGCTGGGCAAACAGCTGGGCGCTGGCGCCTTTGGTGTCGTTCTGAAGGGCGAGGCCAAGGGCATACGCGCGGATGAACCCACCTCCACGGTGGCCGTCAAAATGGTCAAACGCACCGCCGACAATGAGGTGGTGCGCGCACTGGTCTCCGAACTGAAGATTATGGTGCATTTGGGACAGCATTTGAATGTGGTTAATCTGCTGGGAGCGGTGACCAAAAATATAGCGAAACGTGAGTACACGAAAAACCTTCAAAGACTCTCCCTATTTAAATGATCTTTTTGCTGCGCAGGTGAACTGATGGTCATTGTGGAATATTGTCGCTTTGGCAATGTGCAAAACTTTTTGCTGCGCAATCGCAAGTGTTTTATCAATCAAATAAGTCTCGTTAACGACCGAATCGATCCAGCGATTATGATACAACGAGTATCCGAAAACTTTGAGCTAAATCGGTGAGCAATTTATTACTTAAATTTTAAACTAAATTAGCTCTAATTATGTGGAATGATTAACCCCAAAAAATATCTAAATGAAATGCTTACTAACTGCTGCTCTTCGTTCTCTCCTTCTCTCTGTTTTGTTTCTAACAAAAAAAATCAAATAACTAACCAAAAAATACACAATCTAATACAACATTTTACCCCACACAAACACACACACTACAAATCCTGATTGTGAATGTTCTTTGTGATCCCCTGGTTATGGCATCCTCTCTCACCTCACTGCTCTATGGCTCCTGTATATGTGTGTCAAACTAAAATAGCGATTTAAATGGTGGCGGTGGTGTCGTTGTTGGTGGCTTGAAATATGCTAATGTTGGTTTCCCCAACCATCCGTATTTCAATCACATGAACTCCGTAAACAACAATTATACGCAAAATCATCGCAGAAATTCGGACAATGATCCACGTTCGGGCACACGTGCGGGTCGACCTGGCTCAGCTGGCTACAGCTACGATCGTCAGACGGATACCTGTGCCACAGAAGCCACTATGATGACAACAGTGCCAGAGGGTAAACCATTACCAATACTCTAAACCTAAAGAACAATCCTTGAGTGCACTTTTTATCCCTTTCCATAGATGAACATGTCATGTCCAACAACTCGATACAGCCCGCTTGGCGTTCCAATTACAAGACAGACTCCACGGAGGCCATGACCGTGACCACAACGGATCTTGTTAGCTGGGCTTTCCAGGTGGCACGTGGCATGGACTATTTGTCCTCAAAGAAGGTGCTGCATGGTGATCTAGCAGCACGTAACATACTCCTGTGCGAGGACAATGTGGTGAAGATTTGTGACTTTGGCCTGGCACGTTCCATGTATCGCGGTGATAACTACAAGAAATCAGGTGGGTTGGAAAATATTTACAAATAATCGGAAAATATTAATTTATATTTACTTACAGAGAGCGGCAAGCTGCCCATCAAATGGTTAGCGCTGGAATCCCTCAGTGATCATGTGTTCAGTACTTATAGCGATGTTTGGTCCTTTGGCATTGTGCTGTGGGAACTGTTCTCGCTGGCCAAGGTGCCATATCCCGGCATAGATCCCAATCAAGAGCTGTTCAACAAGCTCAACGATGGCTATCGCATGGAGAAGCCGCCATATGCCAATCAAGAGCTGTACGAGATAATGCTAGAGTGCTGGCGGAAGAAGTAAGCAACGAAAGGAAGCCCTAAATGAGCAGTTTTAATATATTTTATCCAACTTACAGTCCCGAGAGCAGACCCTTGTTTGCTGAGCTGGAGAAGCGTTTTGCCACCATGCTGGGCGAGGATGTGGCCAGTGTAAGCTACACAAGTAATCCCAAACTGCATAGATGAGAGGTAACTCTATTTATTTACAGCACTATTTGGACCTCAACAATCCCTACATGCAAACGAACATGGAGTACATGAAGAATCAGTCCACAGACTACCTAGCACTCATGGGTTCCCCCGATGAGCTGGCGCCGGCGGCACCACGTTACGTTAATGGCCATATAGTGCCCGATATTAGTGAGTATTGATGCCTGGCGACTAACCTCTCTATTGCACACGATCCACACACATACTCATCTTGCGCACACAACTAACCCGAACAGGAATCGAAGAGCTGCCCGATGACTATCAGGCGATGAGCAGCCCGCCCGATACCAGCACTGCCATCTATTCACCCACGCGCATCGATGGCGATGATATGGCACCAACGGCCAATTTCACAGAGTTTGCCGACTTCTCACCCCTACAAACAACCGACACCTCTTTCACCTTCCCAGATACAGCCCCAACGCCACCCCAAAGCCAACGCTCCAATGTCGGACAACATTCACCGACGCTGAGCAACAATATGAACAGCGGTCTGCACAAGCCGCTGCGTAAGAAGAACGGCCTGCCGACGGTGGATGCCGCCGATCAGGCACCCGAGGAGATACCCATGCTGCATCGCACCTCCACATCGGACGGCGAGCCTAGTCCGGAGCAGGGGCGACGCTTCAATCAGGCGCTAAAGCAGCAGTATGTCACGCCAAAGCCATCGCCGCGGCACCACGTGGAGACGAAACTGAACGGCGATGCCGAGAACTATGTGAATGTAAAGCCGCCACGTAAAAATCTCTCCAATAAGCCCACAGCCAGCGGTGGCAGCAACAACACAGAAGCATTCTCCAATCCCAGCTATCAGCCGCTTTCGGCGTTGAATGAGAAGGAGGAGCGAAGGTATTAGGCGGAGACAGAAGAGCCTGGAGCGGAGCAGCCAGCTAGCTTAAGTTAGACAAAACAATACTACTTAGTGGCATTGTGATCATTCTGATATAGCCCTAAGACGACACTCACTCCATGTTATATATAGTATGTTTATGTATGTATACATTGATTAATGCCATTTCATGTTTAATTTTAATTGTTATTTGTAAGTCGAATTATCGTGTATGTTTATGTGTAATGTATGCATGTACCTACAACAATTACTCAAATAGATTGGGTATCAAATTAACATATTGATGTGTCTTTAATGGTCTGGTCAATGCTTTTAACGTTTTGATTCTTTCTACGTGTAGGTTGATCGAATTGGATATTTGCAAAATAACTTGCAGTCTCCACTCTATACTTTATAGTTTACCCTAAAAGTATGCAACGGTCACTAAATGTCTGGTCCTAGCCGCAAACTCATAGGGTGCTGACCGATTTCAGTCATTTATTTTATAACTTTGTTTTTTGGAATGAAAAAGGAGTCACTCTCGTTATACTACCTGTTGAATTGCCACAAGTGGTAAAATGGCGTCACATATAGTTTCTGGGCTGAAAGTCTTGGCCAGCTAGTAAGAATACACAGAATATCAAAAAGATGTATGTTTTTACATGGCAACTAAACATTTGCTACATATTTATGTAATTAGCAACAGAGACACCTGACGAAGAGATGTGTAAATATTTACGGTATATTTTTATAATGGATGGATATATTTTGGTATATTCTTGACGGTCAAACTTTTACTGCTACCGCCACACTGCTACCGATTAATTTATAAATAATAATTGTTTTTAAGCCCCTCAATTTAATTGTTAATCTTCACATTTCCAAAATGATGGTAAGTTCCCGCTCCCAGCAAGATGTGCAACGTGTTAATCCAAAAACATGAAGCGATGCAAGCTGAGAGTGCATTCTGGATCGAAATTCAAATGACGCCTCACACGCACACAAAGAAATTGCTTATCAACAAAAATATGGGCGTATGCAATTAAAGTGAGTGTATTTAATGTTCATTGCACTTTGTAGGACGGCACGGATGAGTCAAATATACTAAATAGTCGCTCCTCGACCAACAATGGGGCAACACTGGAGATAACCTCGCCCACAAATCCACTGGCAGGACCACCGGTGGAGCCAGCAACAGGAACAGCAACAAATGGCAGCGGTTCGGCCACATCGCCGGACAGCTCCTCCTCGGCGCCAGTGACACCCGCCGCACTAGGAGAGAACGCGCTGCATGTGGAGATCTCCGATGCGCTGAGCGAGAAGGAGAAGGTAAAGTTCACGGTGCATACGCGTACGACGCTGCCAGGATTCGCGAAAAAGGACAACAATGTGGTGCGACAGCACGAGGAATTTGTGTGGCTGCACGATCGCATCGAGGAGAACGAAGACTATGCGGGCTACATTGTGAGAGAAGCACACAAAACCCCGAACAATAGACTAATTGAAATCATTACAGATTCCACCGTGTCCGCCACGTCCGGACTTTGATGCCTCGCGAGAGAAGCTGCAGCGTCTGGGCGAGGGTGAGGGCAACATGACCAAAGAGGAGTTTAAGAAAATGAAGTCCGAACTAGAGGCGTAAGTTTAAACAATTTGCAATTAAAATTTGACTCATTCTTGTATTTATCCTCCCTTCAGCGAATACTTGGCAACATTTAAGAAGACGGTGGCCATGCACGAAGTGTTTCTGCGTCGCCTGGCCAGTCATCCCGTCTTTCGTGTGGATCAGCACTTGAAAGTCTTTCTCGAATACGATCAGGATCTGTGCGCCAAGCCACGCAAGAAGATGGCCATCTTTGGTGGCTTTGTCAAGTCGCTGGGCAAGACCACAGATGAGATACTGCTGAGCGCCACAGTGCGCGATGTGAATGACTTTTTTGAGAACGAATTGCAATTCCTCACTGAATACCACGGGCACTTGCGTGAGGCTGCTCTACGCACCGAAAAGATGACACAGCGGCACAAGGAGGTGGGCGATTCCCATCAGAAAATCTCGAATGCTCTCACCCAGTTGTCCACCACTGAGAAGGGCAATGTGGAGACATTTGTGGCCAAGACAGCGGAGATATTTGAGCGCGTGAAGGTGTGTATTTGATCTCCACAACGTTATGGTTATAACCCTTCTACGTTTATTATAGAATCTGGAAACGCGTGTGGCCAGTGATCAGGATCTTAAGCTGGGCGACACTTTGCGCTACTATCAGCGGGACAGTGATGCGGCCAAGGCGCTGCTTATACGACGCCTGCGCTGCCTGGCCGCCTACGAGACGGCTAATCGCAATCTGGAAAAGGCACGCTCCAAGAACAAGGATGTGCATGCGGTAAGCATTTTTGGGGCGGGCTTTGGTGGGCAGGTTTTGTTGCAAATTATTTCACACGCTTCACTAAAACAAAAATTGTATTTTACCTTTCACAATATTTGACACATTCTGCTCTGACTCTGCGCCTCTCTGCCTCTGCTGTCTTCCCCTTCTACCACTCTGTCCACTCTTTGTGCGTGTCTCTGTATTGTGGTTTATTGTGTCGTTCTGCAGCCTCTGGAGGTGCAAGAGGTATTTGGCATTTTACAACGTTTTTATACAAAAAATTAAACAGTAGATGTACGTGTCCGTATCCCCCCAACACATTAGTCGCTGCATGTCCTTGCACCCATATAGCTAGCATGTCTTGTTGTGGCCCAAACAGGTAAACTTTCAACTAATTCGTTTGACATTTTTTTTTTTAACATTTAGGCTGAAACTGCACAGGCGGAGGCATGTGAGAAGTTTGAATCGATGTCTGCCTGCGGCAAGGAAGAGTTAATTGGCTTTCGGAATCGTCGTGTGGCGGCCATCAAGAAGAGGTAAATTAAATACAGTTTCTACCTAAAGTTACCCATTATAACCCGCTCTTTTTTGCAGTCTCGTGGAACTCTCTGAACTGGAGATTAAGCATGCCAAAACCCAATATGAATATCTGCGTCAATCGTTGATTTCCATCAAGGAGATTGCCTGAGGCTAAGAGTCACACACACACACACCAGAAGTTGAAGTAAATCAATTGTTTAATTGCTAAGCAAACAGTTTATTATGATACGGGGACAGCAAGGAGCTCCCGTAGCGCCACTTTTATTTGTATTTTGTATTAACAAATATTCAATTTGTTTTGTTAAACAGAGCGCTTTTATATTTGTCTAACGAGCATTCCTCTCTCTATAAACTAAAACTAAAACATATATATTATCTATTGTATTTTAAACCCGCATTGAAAAACTGAATTATAAAACGTGAATTATTATTGTACAGAAACAAACCCCAAGCGGCTCGTGTGTTTGTTGCCTGTCAACAGATTGTTTATTTTATTTTGTTGTAGCTCGAAATCGGTTGCCAGGACACAGCCAACAGCAACAGCAAAAAAGAACACTCCAAATTGTTTTCCACGCTATATTCTGTTTAGTTTTTGTAGTTCCCTTTCTTAGCCATGGATGATTTTGGTTGTTACGATTATAAGCAGCCGCTGAGCACCAATGTGCCGGATATGCGCACCTCCACCTACCGCGGACATCGCCACATCACAGATCTGCGTATGGGCAACAAGCTGAATGCGAAGATTTGCAGCAGCAACAATTATGTGCGGGATCCACTGTTGCATGACAAACAGGCTACTGAATATGGAGCCAACTATGAGTGGCAGGCGAGTTTCCAGCGGCTCCTCTATACCCCTAACTTATCTTTCTTTTCCTCTCTTAAGTTTGGTGATCCGAATATCCTACGCAATCCTTCGCTCAACATGAAGTCACAGTACATGAAGCCCTTCGAGCAGGGACATTTGCGTTTTATTAAACGCAAAATAAAACCCATTAGCAGCGTGACGCAGGATGCTTTTGTGGAGAAAACATTGCCAGTGGATGTGGTACCCATACGCAATGCCATGCCAACGCCTGTGGAGGCCACCAAGCTGATTATTGATCGCTCCAAGATTGGCTTCAGCAAGTACACAGATCCCTCGGCCACCACCTACAATCTCGCCTACGTTCGTTATCCACCCAATGAGCTGTTGGGTGGCATTGCTGCACACGATAATGTGACATTCTGGAACTGGTCCGAGCAGTGTAAGCCCTCGCAGAAGGTCGCACGCTATCCGGATGCCACAATGTGCGATGACTACCCGGCCAAGGATTGTCCCAAGCGACGCTGCGAGTTTCAGAACACAACCAAATCGGTGCCACATGCGGGCATGAGCACAGAAGTGCGCGAGAACTACACCGATCCGCAATGCCGCTCCATGGAGTTCAATGTGGAGGTGAAGCCGCTGATGGTGTACGAGGCCATAACACCCTTTGCCAAGAAGAGCGAAAATGCCATCTACGGCTCGGGTGAACCCGTGGTGAAGTATGTTTAAGCTGCCGAGCCTTAAAATTTATGTTCAAGATTAAAGCTTCCGCTTTATTCGAATGTGCTGAAGCTGTGGGGCAACAGGCGATACACAGAGGTAACCAGCACCTCATCCTCGTCCTCAATGGCGGGTATTCTGTCAGCCAGCTCCGGTGCGGGTGCCTTGGCTATGTAGATGGGAAAATCTCTGCAGGCAAACTCTCGCATAAACTGACGGCACACGCCGCAGGGCATGGTGAAACCCTTGGGATGATAGGCCACCACAGCGCCGCCCGTGAACATCATTTGTCCCTCGCTCACACCCTTGGCCAGGGCCGTGCGTTCGGCACAGCATCCCGGCGTAAAGGCCACATTCTCAATGTTACAGCCGGCGTAGACGTAGCCGCACTTGGAACGAAAGGCGGCGCCCACAGGGAACTTGCTATACGGCACATAGGCGTCCTTGCGTGCAGCCAGCGCAGACTCCAGCAGCTCCCTGGCCTCCACAGCTGTGCTAAGGCAAAGTAAAGTAACTCATCTAGAGGGTTTCCTGATCTGATTTCTACTCACACAAACGACAGAATTGTGTGGTGTACTCCTCCAGCATCTGTGGATGTGGCAAATTCCTTGAATCACACACACGTCCACGTTGTCTCTGCGTTGCCTGCTTGCCCTCGCGTTGGTTTATTTCGCATGCCAGTTCATTCAATGTCTTCATGTGGGTCTTGAGCGTCTTTCTCAGCTGCCGCCGCTTCAGCTCGTTCTTCATTTCGCCCAGACATCTCATGTATTTCTTCAGCAATTTTCGTTTATCGGACATGATTTTTGTTAAATTTAAAATTTTATTTTTTATTTTTATTTACTGTGAAAGCCTGAAAGGGAATACTGGAAAGTTGTTTCGAAAGTATCAAATGATAGACAGGGAAAAGGGCCAGCAGCAGTTTGCTATGATTGGGCTTTGTTGTTTATTTTCTAGTAGTTTCTATGGAATTTGTTGATTACTTTAATAAGGCTATTAAATATTGTTTTTTGACGGGTACTCCTCTAGATTTTGCACTGTTTTCTAGGAATTTCTATGCACTTTTTAGATTATTTTCTAAGGCCCTTAAATATTTTTCTTTGATTAGCTTTTGCTTTGTTTTATTCGGTTTATCTCTATGCGCTTTTTGGATTACTTTATTAAGGCTATTAAATATTTATTTTTTGACGGGTATTCCCCTTTCTATGCACTTTTTATCTCTATGCACGGATTATCTCTATGCGCTTTTTGGATTACTTTATTAAGGCTATTAAATATTTATTTTTTGACGGGTATTCCCCTAGATTTAGTTCAGTTTTAAGTTGAATTTCTATGAACTTTTTGGACTATTTTATTGAAGCTATTAGTATTATTTTTGTTGGGGCAATCCCCTAGATTGAGCTTTGTTTTTTTTTCGGTTAAGCTCTGTGCACTTTTTGGATTAATTTATTACGTTTATAAATTTTTGTTTTTTAATGTTTTTACCAGTTTAATCAACAAATATATGACCCTTTCTTTAATCTATTATTAAAGCATGTTCCAACACTCCAAATTTCGTGTTAAATAGTGTAATTTTCTTTATTTCAAATGATTAGATTGTAAAGATTTAGATTAAATTTGATTAAGGGGGGCAGGTTCGTAGCACTCCGCAGGTTCACTACCACTACAACGACAACTACTTCCTATAGGTGCGAAAACTGCTCGGCAACAGATTAAAAATTGATGTGCACAGCACGGGGTCATCGCTGCGCAGGGGTTCCACTTTATTCGCAATCCTCTCATCAATGGCTTGGGCTATGTAGATGGGTATATCGCTGGTGGCAAACTCCCTGATGAACTGCCGACAAACGCCACAGGGTGTGGTAAAGACATCCGGTTCGTAGGCCAGAACAGCGCCCATCGAGAACTCTGTGGCACCCTCGCTGACGGCCTTCGTGAGGGCTGTGCGCTCGGCGCAAGAGCAGGGCGTAAATGCGGCATTCTCCACATTGCAACCGGTGAAGATTTGCTTGGTAAGAGTGGAGCGGAAGGCTGCACCCACCTTGAACCCACTGTATGGCGCATAGGCACGCTGACGCACTGCCGAGGCGGCCAGCAGTAGCTCTTGCACGGCGGGATCTGCAAGCCAAAAGTGTCACTGAAAATGATCCACAAGGGAGCAAGGAGAATTCTTACCAAGACTGCCATATGTGACCACCTCTTCGGCTTTCTCTGGGCGGGCAAAGTTCTTCATCAGGTGCGACATGATTCTTATATTATTTAATATTTTTTGGAGGCTGGCTGGCTGGCTGTTCGTTGTTATATTTATAGCAAGTTGTGGGTGCGCGCGGTTCCGTGTTTCTCCTTCGAATGTCCGCTGGCAAATGGACGGTTTGTGGTGACGCTGGCGACCAACGTTAGCAATGGATACGTTTGATAGCTGCTGTGCGTTTTGTTGTTCTTGTGGTGGTGGCAAAAATAAACACTTTTGCCAGCATAGAAGGGAGAGTCTCCGAGAGAGGGAGAGCGAAACGCTTGATAAGAGCCGCTAGAGCGCCATCGATCGCTCGATCGATCTTTCGGAATAGTGAAAACAACAAACAGATGCGATGTTCAATCAACAAAAGGGTTGGGGTGGGTTTACACACATAACAAATTGGAAATTACACATAAAAATATTGCTCTAAAAACCGATGATGCCGCTGGCTCTGTCTATCTGTTCATCCCATCCCTGTTGCCTGTCCCCTATTTGCCATTGAGAAAGCGGAAACCATTGGGCAGAAGTTGGAGCACACTGGTGCAGAGGACACGCAGCGGCAGATTGCTTGGCTGGGCCGCATACAGAGGGATGTCCTTGCCATTGACAAACTCCGACAGAAACTGGCGGCAAACGCCGCAGGGTGTGGTAAATCCATTGTCCTGTTGCGCCACCACAGCACAGGCCACAAAGTCGCGCTTGCCTTCGCTGTAAACATACGAGAGATAACATAACTCGCATCGTTCCAATGCTCCATTGACATCAATTTAATCTCACCTAATGGCCTTGACGGCAGCGGTGCGCTCGGCACAAATGCTGGCTGCGTAGGCGCCGTTTTCTATGTTGCAGCCCGTGTATATGGAGCCATCGCTGGTGCGTAAAGCAGCACCTACAGAAAAGTTGCTGTACGGACAGTATGCCTGCTTCCTGGCCTCCGCTGCTGCTCGGATGAGCTCCTGCACCGATGGATCTGGGAGGGAAACCATTTAGTGAGTGCCTGGCAATGATTGCCGCAATCTTACCCAAGCTATCATGCTCTTGCACATTGAGCTCGTCTCTTGCGCCATTGATAAACACCTGTGTCATAGCTAAGATCTCTTAATTTTGATTACAAGTTGCCCAACCAGCAACACCAAAACACCCCTCTCGACCCACTGAAGCACAGCTGTTCGCTGTGTAACACTTTCCAGCACTGTCAAAGTATCAGAGTGTGCGTGTTTTGTTTGTACAATAATTAACACACGAACACAATTCGAATGCGTGTGTGTGCTTTCCTTTCATCTTATCATAAAAGTTTACTCACAACCGGGAAATTTCGATCAATATAGTAGCATTCCGGCCTCAAACAAATTAGTGAGTGACTGAATTTGGTGGTTTGTTGTTCATACTTTAGTTGTAATAATGCCGTCGCCGTCAGAGTCAGAGTCCAGCCCCACAAATCTCGAGCACCAGAGGCAGCTGTCAGAGGACATAACCGTGGCCATGGGTGGAGTAGCAGAACGTTTGCCGCCCGTCAACAAGGATGATAATCGCTTTCCCTACTGCATCGTGTGGACGCCCATTCCAGTGTTGACTTGGATACTTCCCATGATCGGTCACATGGGCATTTGCACCTCAATCGGTGTGATACGCGACTTTGCTGGCGCCTACTTTGTTTCCGAAGACCAGATGGCGTTTGGAAATCCAACTCGCTACCTGCGCCTGCATCCGAAATACGCCCAGGGCGGCACCAATGCCTGGGACGAGGCCGTGTCGAAGGCCTCCGTTCTGTATGGCACGAGGATACACAACATTTTCTGCGACAATTGCCACTCGCATGTGGCAACGGCCCTCAACAATATGCGCTACAAGAACAGCAGCAGCTGGAACATGATCATCCTCAGTATGTGGCTCTTTGTCTGCGGCCGCTACACTAGCATCTGGGGCATACTCAAGACGTGGCTGCCGTTTGCTATCTTCGTCACCATTATAGTTCTGCTGGCAGTTTACTTTTAGTGAGTGCTGTGTGCGATGTCGTTCCAATGGTTATTCTAATTGTTATTGCTATGTCTAAGATATCTTTTATTTGTATTTCTTTGTAGTTACAAAATAAATGTATGTACTTTAACGTTAGTTAAACAAAACTCTATCTGCTATGACTCAGCGCTAACTTTTTGGCGGGTACGCACGTACAGGAGATTAGTTTTCGACTGCTTTTGTGATTTCGTCGGCGTGTTCAAGCAGTTTCTTCCACTGCAGTATCGACAGGCAGATTCCTTTTTTGCCCGGCAGCGTTTCACCGTTCTTTTCATAGAACTCACGGATATCGACCATTTTGCGGCCACGGAACTCGTTGATGCGTACCTGACGCATTCTCTCCAGCGTCCAGGTGGTGGCCTCAACATCGCCGCCACCACCAGAGGCAGGCTTTTTGGCCGCGGCCGCTGGAGCAACAGATTCCTTCGCTTTCTTGCTTGCCGGCTGGTTGCGCTGTGTTGTGGCAAACAAAACTATTTAGAAGTACATTTATAAATAGATTAGTGGTTAACATACGTCATCGGGGCCGCTGTCACTGCCGGACGATGAGGAGTGCTGCTTCTTCTTTATTTTCGGCATAATTAATTTATTTTATTCACAGATTTTCAATAAAAAATTGTCTAGATTCCGATGCGTGAAAATTCGCGCTAGTTGACATTAAGTGTTGGTAAGCACCGCGGGTATGGACTAGTGCGGCGAAACTGTACAAAATCACCAGTATTGCCACAGCTGAGTCGAATTAAATGCATTCTCAAGAGGCAGTGTGTGCGTGGAAGAGAACAAACAAACTTGGAACACCTTTCAACGTACTCCAGCTGCTACCCGAAGTTTGACAGCCCTAATCTCTTTGAATACCGTATAAAAAATCACCAACGATGTTTTAGTTTAGTATATTTTTATCTACTATTTTACCTAACAATATTGGCGACACTGCAAATTAGTGTTGTTAAACGCATCGCAGGACCGGCGTCACTTCGCGTAAGGCGCACTTTTTTTCTCTCCAGAATCGTTTTCCCGACGTCTACGTTGTTTGACTAATCAAACCACCAAACTAGCTACTTACTCTTTATTAAATCGTCGCATCCAAGTGGTGAGTGTAGCAATCAGTGGAATCCAAACAATTCGTCGCAAAGTGATTTTTTCCTTTTTTTTTGTGCGCCCGCATTTTTGCACTGGCGTGTTTGCGTGTGTGTGCGTACCTATCTCACATTTTTTTCCCACTAAACAGCACTTTGAATAAAGTAAAGCAAAATGGGTAAGAAGCCTGACGACGCCGAGAGCACTCAATCCGAAGAGGAGGTGGAAGAGGAGGAGGAGTATGCCGTTGAGAAGATTTTGGATCGCCGTGTCCGCAAAGGAAAAGTGAGTTGCAGCCACCGAAAGCCCCCTCTACCCTATCCATTCCCCCTTGGACGTTAGTGGCACAACTTGTCTACAGCGACATTAATTCAATTTTTTTTCGAAGGTGGAGTACTTTTTGAAATGGAAGGGCTATCCCGAAACTGAAAATACTTGGGAACCCGAGAGTAATCTCGATTGCCAGGATCTTATACAGCAATACGAGCTGAGTCGCAAGGATGAGGTATGTACGGGTTGCGTAGCGTGGTACAGTTGCTTTCGCAGACTCTAAAGTGGCATTCGTGTTGGTTGTGCGTTTCAACAGGAGAAGTCCGGCGGTGGCGCCAAAAAGGACCGTCCTGGCAGCAGCGCCAAAGTGAAGGAGACGGGCCGTAGCTCCACTGGCACAGGTGTGCCAGCCAGCAAGCGCAAACAGGAGGAGCCTTCGGGTGAGTCACCACAAATTATAATGAAATTTTAGATGTAATTTGTTGTTTTACTGGCAGCTACCAATGGAAAATTAAAGCGCACAGATCATGACCAGGACTCTAGCAACGACTCGAATAGTTCGACAACCACGGGTTTCGATCGCGGCCAGGAGGCTGAAAAAATTCTTGGCGCCTCTGACAACAATGGCCGCCTCACATTCCTGATTCAGTTCAAAGGTGTCGACCAGGCTGAGATGGTGCCATCCTCGATAGCTAACGTAAAGATACCCGCTATGGTGATTGCCTTCTATGAGGAGCGCCTCTCGTGGTACTCGGACAACGAGGATTAGTAGTGGTAGAGTGTTAGCCGAGGCAAAAGAGTAAATAATCTTAAATAAAAAACTTAAAATATATTAGATCGTAGTTTAAATTCAAGGACAAGGCCGTTCTCCGTTTATCCCGGACACCCAAACTATATTTTTTGTCCCCTACAAAAACCGAATAACATGTATTTACATGACATTTAAATAAATAAAATAGGAATGTTCTATAAAATCTGGAATAATGCATCTACTGTGTGTGTGTGAGTGGATCCTGAACTTCCTTAGGGTCGAATTTTGTCATGTGATGACCATATGCACGCCGACTTTTTACCTCTGTTATTTATTTTGTTTCCATGTAGAGATCACAACGGGCCGAAACCGGCCTAAGTGTCAGGATTGTGAAATCCCGACGACCGACTTAACCTAACCTAACCTTCCATGTAGAGCAGCTGGGCACGCGCCATTTTAGCTTTTGCCGCTAAACGGAATTTTGCAATGCATTGGTATTAGTGTGAATCAATGTAATACACGTGTATATGAGCTGCAGCGCAGCGTCAGAGCCTTGACCGTGACCGTTAACGAGCCCTGATGTAGAGTGAGAGAATTTTGACGAAAATTTTGAATTGAAAACAGTAAAGCAGTCGATGATTCCAACTGACCGGGTATGGCGAATACTGAATCGACTTGACACGTAAAAGTACGACCTCACGTTATTTATTTACACAGATAGATAACACAAGAAGAACTTATAAAACGATTAATTTGACAATTAAACATGGGTTACACGGGCAAGCGTAAACCTTTGTAAAAACATGTCGCCTTGTCTGATTCGTAAGTCGTCGAACAACCGGTGTAATGTAAGGCTTAAGAGATCGTGTAACGGTGTCCATGACCAATGACGGCGTCCCGGATGCCCCACGTGGCCGTGCCCACAGCCACTGTAGCCCGGCATGCGTCCCTCGCAGCTCGTGAACTGTGACGCCGACGGGAACGGTCTCGTTTTCCTCGTTGTCACTATCTAAGGTCACACACCTGCGTGGACGGACCGGACCTTGCACTTCCCTGACGAGAACTACCCGGCGAGTAACTACCACTAGCAATCCTAATTTCACGGCACTCTCAGCCCGCACTTCCTCTACAACATCCACGGTAGTGCTAACAGGCGGACATCGATGGGCAGAAACTTGGACGTGGAGTCCTTGTACTTGATCATACAATTGATCTGCAGACCACCATGACAGAGGGAAACGCCATCCGCATCACGAGAGTGCAGCATTAGATCGGCCTTCCTGTGGAGTCGCAGCTGCGAGAAGCCCTCCCACTCGAGGGTGCACAGCGATGGCTCCACCACCTGCATGGTAATGATGCCATAGAGGGGAATATCCCGCTGCTCCTTGGTGGCCGGTGCCCGTATCTTGGGTAGAAAGTGCAGCGAATCGGAGATCTTGGGATCCACCGGGGGCTTGAATTGTTGACAGAATTCGAAGCGCTTGAGGAGAATGCCCACAAAGCTGAGTATCTCTGCATCGGCACCGATTTCGGACAGCTCCTGGCTGAAGTGTACAGCATCCATGGCCTCCTGCGTGCGTTTTTCTAGAGGTTAAACCTGATAAGTGCAACTGGCATGAGTTTTTGTATGCAAATTCCTACCCAAATCCAATTGCTGCTTGAGTATTATCTCTACCTTGGACTCCCTGGCGCGACTTATTTGCTGTAGGAGCGTCCGCCGATGCACTTCCACTGCCTCGAAGTAGCCCTGCATATGCCGCTCCACCTGGTTGTGTATGTCATCGCATCTAGCATTGATGCCTCTGGCTATATCGTTTAATCTTTCGATGGAATGCTCAGCATACTGACACAGCGGACGCGTCTGATCGGTGGCTTCCCGGAGCAGCTTACTCTGCTGGCCAATGGCCCGCGCAACGGTCTCGTGGCGATGTCCCTTGTGCAGCAGCACTAGGCAGTCCGTGCAAGCCAACTGTCGACACACCACACAGAAGGCCTTAAGCTCAAAGTTGGTGTGGAGGCCACACTTGAGCACCAGCTTGCTGCTGTCTCCCAGGCCCAACTGCTGCTGCTTTTGCTTGCGTGCGCGCCGGAGCTCCAGGATGCTTCTCATGCGATGATTGGCTGTGGAACGCTGCCGCTCGTGGGCGTCCTTGCACAGCGAGCACAGATTGAGGGTGCAACTGATGCAGTGATAAGTGGCCTGGAAGAGCAGAGAGTGAGGACTAGCTGCAGGACAGAACGAACTCCTTTTGCTTACACTAATCTCATCGCTGCAGAGCGAACACCAGACCCTCGAGATGACATCTTCGCCTGCCTGCAGTCGCAGCACTTCGATGCGCCGCACCAGCAAATAGTTCTGTGGTAGCAGACGCACTCCACCCAGTGGCACATCCGTGGGATACTGACACACATGGCAGCGTATGCAGCGTGGAGCAATGTCGCTGACAAAGCTGCCCGTGAAGCGAGTGCTAAAGGAACTAGTGGAACGCTTGCCATCACTCTTGGACTACAGAAAAGAGAAGTAAGTATCGTCGAGCCATTGGCAGTTGCTGACCAAAAACTCACCCGAACTACCAATCGATCCATGGACTTTTTGCGCCTCAAACTGAAGCTGGCACCACGCTGTCGGGCAGGGGAGACAGTCGCCAGTTCGGCACTCGAGCCGCCCATCTCCGAGCGCAGACTGTAGTTGGAGGGAACCTCGCTCTGTGAGTGATCCCACGTGGCGCAGGCCTCCTCCTTAAAGTTCTCATTGACCAAACACTGCAGGCAAAAGGAGTGCAGGCAGTGTAGGGTTCGCGGATCCGTGTAGACATCCATGCAGATGGCACACTTCAACTCATCACCGAAGGTGATCAAAATTGTCTCTGGCGGCGTGCTGGGTCTCAGCGTAATGCTCGGTGAGGGTGAGGGCGTGATGGCTGGCGAATTGGAGCGACTTCTGATCATGGGACTGTGTGCATTGTAGATCTCCAGTGTGGGTGGCCGCTCCACGGATGGGAGTAGTAATCGCGGCAGCATCTCCTGCCTGGGCTGTGCCGTGTCCGGCGTGGGTGGCGACACCCTAAGCTCGGGCGAGGCCTTGAGACTCAGCAATCGCTTGGGTTGCAGCTGCTCTGGCTTGGCTCTGATCTGTGGCTGTGCCACCGTCACATTGCTGGCCTGACTGCTGCTGCTACTCTGCACGGACACGGACGAGGCCCCGCTCAAGATGTTGTCCAGCAGCGACTCTGGCGAGGTGGAACTGCCACCTCCGCCAGCCAGGCTGCTGCTTTGCTCACTCCCACTGTCCTGAACTTGGGCCTCCTCCAGGGGTATCTCCGTCAGTGTGGGTTGAACGGGCCCCGCCAATCCCAGTGTCCGCGAGCGTCGAATGATGCAGTTGCTCAGCTCTAGTTTGGGCACTGTGGGCGTGTCCGCCAAGGTACCCTCCACCTTGGGTGCAATGGCAAAGGTGAACAGCTGTGGCGCCGACTTACGACGCACTGCCTCGGCAATGGGCAGTGTCTGTAGCAGCTGTAGCTGTCCCTGTCCCTGGGGAGGATTCTTACGCAGGGAAATCTTTGAGGAGCTCAACTTCAACATCAGTTTGCCAGTGGTTGGTGCTGGTGGTGGAGGTGGAACCACAGCTGCTGTAGGCACAACCTTGGCTCCAGTCTCCCCCTCCATGCGCTCATAGTCGATGATTGGTGGGCCCCCGCTGACGCTTTTCGTGGAGGCGCTCGTCCTTCGCTTGAAGATGGGTTTTATGGGGCGCTCGCTCATGACTGGGTTCTCTCTATATGTAATCCTATTCCTGAAGGGATTTCCAGCTCTAGTTGTGGTTCCGCCACGCCATCAGACCCGCTGCGTGTTCCCCTTGTGACTGCTGCTGGGCCGGGCGGCGTGAGGTTTTCTTTCCCCTAATCCAATTAGATTTGGCCCGCAACAATGGAAATTATACAAACGTCGGTCAGAGGTGGAAATGGCAACAACACGTCTGCCATTGACAATTGTGCAATCGTTTGTTGTGGTTGCCTCTGCTACTCATTCGAAATAGTAGATACTACGGGCATCAGTCGCAATTTATTCAATCCCACTGACTGGGCGCTATCGATTGGACTCATACAAAAAGTCATACAACAAATTATAATTAAAATTTATAATTTTAATAAAAAATTGAATATATAAGAAATTTATTATAAAAAATTAACAAATGCATTTATATTTAAGTTAAATATTTCATAACATTGGTGTTATATATTCCCATCAATATTTATAATTAGTTAACTAGTAAAATGCAAAGACACTATTACAATTTATTTATTTATGTTTTGGGCTCTTTTCCCGAATTCAGAACTAACTTTAAACCATATTGAGCTTAAAATATCAATGATATGATGCTAGAGAGAGACAGACCAAAAAGAACTTTCAAGAATGTAAGTTGAAAGCTTTTTTACAACAACTAGGAAAGGGACAGTTTTGTTTACAAGCCAAGTCGTTTCGTTACGCAGCGTTAAAATCTCTCGAATCAAAGCTCACATACTGCAAATATGATGCTGGTAACTGAAACAAAGGAAAGTATACGATTATACCACATCCCATATCCGTTTAATCAACCCCCCCCCCCCCCCCCCCCCCCCCCCCCCTCCACCCCCCCCCCCCCCCTCCCCCCCACCCTCTTCCCCCCTCCACATTTCAGTATATACATCAAATAGAAAGATGACTATCTAGTTGTGTGTATTTCCAACGTCTCACACCCCCCCCCCTCACCCTCAC